CCAGATCCCTCTCTCTCTCTCTCTTTGTCTGAATTAAGAGTAAATGACATAGATGTGACCTTTTTAGTTGGAAATGAACACACCTTTACCAGGGAAGGCTCTTTTTTTTTTTTCTTTTTTGGTGCATCGTTTTCTTTCAGTCAAAGTGAGAAATGTTTGTTTTCTGTTCATTAGAAAAGAAATAAGTGAAGATGCTTGGATTTTTAAGGGTCATCCTGGTTTGATTTAGGTATATTTTTTTATAACGCAAGCTTCCAACTTTTCTAAAAAGTTTTACTCAACGTGACGTGGATGGCTGCCTGCAGCGTGTGTCTGTCGGTCAAAGGAATCCACTCGGACAGGTGATGTGGGTGAGTAATCCATTAGAAGGATACAGAATCCCTTCCTCAGCAGTGCACAGTTTGAGCGCACTCAGCGAGACCTTGACGGGCCCCAGAGCCAGGGCCTGTCAAGCCAGGAGGCAGAGTGATGGAGAGCCCCCACCATGGTGCACTGGACCCTGGCTCTCACCCACGCACTGCCACTGAGGCTGCACACCCAGGGGCCTATGGCCACTCCAACACAATCCAGATGTATGAGAACTGTACAAGTGGATGCGTACAGGTATGTAACACACACACATATACACACATGTTCTTCTCACTAAGGGTATGGGACTGTGCCAGCGGAGGGTCAGAGCAGATTAAGATATTTTCCTGCCAGTCTCCTGTTTGTCTCAGGGCTTTGGGATATTTTCAGAGAAATTCTCTGAAAACCCTGAACCTTGTCATCCAGTGACATGAAGTCCCAAAGGATGTTTGGTAACTCTGAGGGATATTAATGAAAAGGCAAGCGGCTCCCCGAAGAAATGATTGAGCTGAACCAGAAAACGGCCAATGTAAAAATAGACCGGCTAAAAGACAGACTGGCTCTGATGTACAAACTTGGCAAAAAGTTAGAAACTACATTTTTGAAGTAGTTTTAACAACTGGTATGGTCCGACATGGTACACAGCTGATGTTTGTGTTATGAGCTTATTAATAAGTTTATTTACTTTGTCATTGTGTCAAACATCAACTTGTATTTATGGACACAGTCTTCGACAATGCAACAGTTCTGGCTTCTGTTTGTTGTCTGAGTTTTATCGTACACAAACATATTAAGCGGCTTTGGTTGTTTGCAGCCCATGAAGACAGCAAAAAAGGTGGAAAGCAGCAGCAATGAACAGACAACTGCCAGCCGACAATATGGCGGTTTAGTCAGAGTCGTATTGTGCACATCATGTGACATTGCCAGTCAACTATAATCGACCACTGGAGAAGGAATTCCTTCATCACTAACTGCTGCTACTCCATTAACTATTGAGGAGTTACTCAAATTAGCATAATTAAGCAGGTTTTACTAACACACGGGTGCATTATAGCTGTTTTCAAGATCTGCCTTGGCTTCTCCTCTGCCTGTGTCTAGATTAATCAAAATTTATGTTGAGCCAGCATTATCAGTATGGCAAAACCAACTTCTCCAAAAACCAACAAAGGGACATGGTCCATGTTATTAACAGTCTTTTAAAGACTGGGATTCCACTTTTGGGCCAAAAAAGATGATTGTTTAAAATAAAGGAGGGTCAGCATCAAGCTTTGGTTTCACACTAGAGAGTCACAGCAGGTCTCCTGGAAGAAAGTCTCAAGCATAAGCACAAAACAGCACTTGACTTTTCAAATGTTGTATGCAAAGCTTTAGCAAGATTAAGGTTACCATTAAAGACAGCGCTCAATGACTGAACTTATCCGTTTGACTCTCCAACATCTCTTTGTGTTTTCCTGCCCTTTTGCACACACAGTAACCTGCAAAGCATCTGTGTACATACTTATGATATTTTATATACCTCCTGAATGCTTTGTTAATACAATAAATGATTGCAAATTAGCAATAAGCCATCGCCACTGTGAACAAAAGCTGTTCTTATTATAAATCAGATCTCCCAGGACTTATTAAAGCAAGAGAAGGAGCTCCAAGTTCACTAATTGAAGCAATGATTTTTTTAAATAAGTGTGTGTGAGTCCTTCTTCACCAATTGCAGTGAATAAAGACACTCTGGGTTGTTATGAAACTGAATCAATAATGTAGAGCACTGCTGGGTCTTTATTGCATATCTGGGGAGCTACTGATTCATAAAAAAAAAACACATCACATAAAGGGATCTGCTTGCCAAGAGTTTTGTGTTATTGAAATTAAGAAATATGTCTAACATTGACGCATTTTGTAAATATGTCTGTTAATTTATCGATGCGTGTCTCAAAAATAATTATTCATTAAACAGACAAGATATGAAGTTATTAAGAAGTGCTGACATGCTGTTCATCACTGCTGAAAGACCTGATTTAAAGTTGTGTTTCTGTAGATACTATAATAATATATAATCAGAATCACTGCTTTAAAAGTACAGAACACTACGATGTTGCGAGGCTTTAATGTGTATTGATGTGTATGTGTGTGTGTTTGTGTGTGTGAATGTGTATGCGTGAACCCCATCAGCCTGAAAATCAGTTTGGGCTGTGAAATCCCTGTCAGTGCTCGGGGCTTAGCCATTCTGATCTGCTTGGGAAAGCTGCTACACGAATAAATGGCATTTACCCGGAACGGTCACATTGTCTCACTGTAAATGTGCTATCCATTTGTCATTCTCCTGTATACGGTAGTGCAGCTATTGGCATTTTTTTATTACTGAAATATATACCCACCAGATCTTTGTATCAGCTGAGTAATCTCTCAACAAAAAAATCCTTATCCTTTCCAAGAGGACACAGCAAATTGAGAAGGTTGTTGTCAGTATTTGGGCTTTCACCACAAAGATACGTCCTGGATAAATGTACCAAAAGTACCAAGATGACTGCAAGTGTGAATTAATGAACAAATGTGGCAAACATAACAAAAACATGTCTTCAGCATCAGGCAAAGGGGTAAGTACACTTTTTGGAGTGGGGTTGTATGTAGTACCTCTCAAAACCTAGTAAGGGATTTGGTCAGCTCAGTCCCTTTGTTGAAAACTGGCCCCAAGGAAGCAACACAGAAGCTATAGGCTGTCAACTGCTGCGAAAAAGGTCAATTTTCCCCTTTAACGTAGCTTAATTTAAAGTAAAGTTGTAAAGACTACATTCTCAAGTTTCAGTGCTTTTCACCTTCCAGTATCTCATATGAACACTCTTCAAATGTGTAGCATTTAGGATGGCAGGAACTCCAGCATGCTTTTAGCAGCAAATGCATTTTTGGCCATCCAGCATCAGGTGCACTTACCTTCGATATTAATTATATGTTAAACATGTCCGTCTTTTGCTAATTGTACTGTTGGAGTTCCACAGGGTTCAATCTTTAGACCAAATTTATTTCATTAAAGTAATGTAAACTGAGCTTCTTTTGGCCCCTTATCAGGCTCACATCCTGGTTATACACAAATGACACAGTTATTTACACCAACAGAAGTGATCCTATGACCAGTGCAATAAACATTGTATTGGGAGGCTTTCTTGGTTTCTATCATTTAAACAAATAAACTGAAACTTAAAGAAACTAAATTTTTTAAAGTTCTGACACACAAAAGCAAACCGTTTCTTTGTGATACATATCTTTGCACTAAAGTATTCCAAACATAGCATTATCATTCAACTCTGGCTTTGATCAGAGACACTCCAAAATTGGACTGGACTGTTCCCTTAAACTCTCTACAGTATAAACCCACATGCTGTAGATTTTAAAGATGTGTCCACCAAGTGTTTGTTAAACTGTATACTGACAGTTGCATAAGTCAACCAGCTACCATCAAAATATAATTAGCAATAATTGAAATTCTCCGTGGATCTCTGCCCTCTAGGTGTCAGGACCATCAGAGTTGGTTATGTAAAGGAGGACATGATGACAGTGGATGATATGTGTGCTTTCATGGGTATGTGTTTGTGTGTGAAAGGTGAGTGTGGTCGCGAGCTTGGACAGTTCGCGACCCAGCAGGGACATTGGCGCTCCGGCTGGGTAGGTAATGATATCAGATGCCACACTCCACAACAACAGGTGCCTTGGCACTGCCACCTTCTACCTCCACGCTGTGTCAATGACATCAACACCGACCCACCAGTTAATTATAGATCACCACTTCCCCACTCTTGACTTTTCAGCCATGAGAGGAGCAGGAGCCTATGGGGGAGATGTTCTGTCCAAGCAGGTTGACATGTTTGGTCCAGAACATGACATGACAGGGAAATTTTCCCTTCTGTGGTTTTTCAATCCTTCACCCATAAATCAGAACAACAGATTTACTTGAGTAATATTTTTTTTGTATCTCTCACTGTTGGAGCCATTGAACAATGACCATGAAAATGTTACCCTTAAACCTGCCTCCTATTGTTGATAACCTTCAGAGCTTGCTGTTGGTTCGCCTGCACAAGGGATATACTGGCTCAATAGGCTGGATGGGTACAGGGGCCGCTCCTAGGATGACTTTGGGATGTTCATATCCCCTCTTCATGAAGGTGGCATATAGAGAAGCTTTGCCACCTTTAGTAGTCAAAATTACTAGTCTGTTGAACTTATTATCACTATGTCTATAGCTGGAGCCCATGATGTCAGTCAGTAATTGTTTATGCTGTAGTTCAGCCAACCACCAGTAATCAGGTCTGTAGCTCAGGTTAACGTCTACTGCTACTGCTCTACCACCCAGATGGAAGCAGACACGAACGACATCTAATAGCACAGTGTGGTTTGACAATGTTATCCCTGAAATGGAAATGAAAAACTCTAAGGGAGTAATGTGTGACCAGCACATGCATGTGGAATGAATTACACATATTTCAGTTATTGTAGTGCTATGTAGTGCAACTGCTATGAATGGCTACTATTATGCTCTTTGACCTGGAAGCACCGATGACAGGTGGAATTTCATATTGTATATTTTGAGTTGTATTGAACTGATTTAACTGGAATAAAACAACTCTACTGGAGTTGTAATGTGTAAGTACACAAGCATGTGGACATCAGCCTGCAAAGGTTGTTTAAGATAATGTTTGCCACTGTATTGCCTACCCATAGACTATGCAGCTGTGTTTTTTAAGCAGTGTTAAATCGTTTGTGCTCACTTTTTGACTGCTTTCTGAGTCTTCTCCTATCTTTAGACCAGCTGGGCTTGTCTAGAATCAAATTTGTGTTGAAACGTCTAGGAGAGTAGTCACTTCAGGACATATTTACCAATATAAGGGTGCATGATTATTAATTTACAATACAGTGAAAATAAAGCAGTATATTTTGATATTAAAATTTCATTCACAATGTAAAAAAAAAGTCTTGCCCAACATTCATCATGCACAAAAATTTAACACCAGTCCACTGCACATAGAAGAGCTCACAGCGTCTTTGTTTCACCCTGGTACTGGATCACATAGGTACTGTAAATTTTGCAATCCTGAAAAATCTGCCATGGTATCATGATTGTACAGGAACTGGAAAAGTCTAATATGCGAATGCCTAATCAGCCCATAATTTATCTCTAAATAATGAATAATGTTCATTGTGTGTTATATTCTTTTTGTCTGGGTCTCAAGAAACTCTAATGATATGTTGCCCACGTAACAGAAATACGATTTTTTCATTCATTACTGCACTCCCATTTTTTTTAATGAAGGACATATGATTTTTGTTGTCTTGTACCTCATACTCACTCAGAAACCTTGTGACTAATTCAGTAGAAGCGCTCAGCTCCGGGGTGGAGATTGGGAGCAGATTTAGGTGCAGCATTTGGATGACCATATGGAACTCTTTGTGGCGCCAAGAGACCATGCAGCTTGGAAACCTGATCACCATCTCCCTGGTGACAGCTGGAGCCTTTACACCATCAGAACATTTGTAGACTTCTAATTTGTCATAACCACCTCCTGTGGCAAAGAAATATGCTGCAGAAATTAGGTAAGCAAAGTTTGGAATTTCTGGGACGGAGCGAGAGCGCTGGAGACGAGCCAAAATAGATAGCAAGGAGAGGGTTAGGACATGGAGGGAAGAGTGTGTTGGTGCATGCAAGAGTCTTATTTTATGCTTACATAGTTCTGTCTACCTTGTTAACCGATGAACCAGTGCTCTTGGTTCACATTTTGACGTTGTTTCTCTTGCACGGGATAAGATAAGAGTATTTCTGCTGCAACTACATGGAGAAAATTGAGAGAAATGTCTGTAACATTCTCAGAATCAACCAGAGACTGCTCTCAGTGGCCTCTAGAGGTAAGGGAAGGGTTGTCCTTGCTTCTGTTCAGTCATAATTTCACAAGTGCGTGTATGAGTGTGTTTCTGGCCATGTGCATGTACTTCTGCACCTAGTGGTTGTCAGTCAAGCGCATGCCTCTCTCTCCCTGAAGTCCCTGGAGAGAGCTGCTGGTTCGAGTAGCTTGTCAGTAAATATATCCCATTAATATTTCATAGAACTGTTTTTTTGTTGCAGCCTCCTCTCTGTGTACCTTGTTTTTTCTCCCCACTTGTCTGAATGGACCATGTACCTTATGTTCATCAACCAGAAAATACCCTCCCTCTTCCCCCATCCTCCAGTGTGTAAAGTGTTTTCTGCCTGAAGGCACAATTCTCTTGTCATTGTTGTACACTCAGGGCCTTGTTGCGGTGTGATGTAATTGTTTTTGCTCTGAGACCTTTCATGTTGTGAGCCGGGGAAACAAAGACTGGTTTCATGATCTATATCACTCTAAACCTTTTAAATTCACAGTAAGACTGTTCAAGCCTTGATTGTTTAGCTAACAAATTAATGACTTCCTAACAAAGGCTCACAGTAACAGAACAGTAATTACTTGGATACAACTTGGGTATCGCCAGTCAAATTGGTGTTGTGGGCCTGGTAGTAAACAGAGACTTGCACTTAGAAGAGCTCTGGGAAAGGCTTGTAGGCCAGCCTTTCCAAGTGAGAAATAGCCTAAGTGTTTTTTCTGTTGTTCAGTGGTAATGCTCTCTAATGCTGATGGTTGACTCTCTGCAGGCAGTCTCACAATTCTCAGGTGGGCCTTCCCGGAGCACTGGCTGAATTAAGTGGATGTAGCTGTGAGATTTTTAAAGTGCGTCACAGCATACAGACGGCTGGTCTACCGTGACATTACTTGGTTGTTAAGTGTTCTTCGGTGGATTACAACAGGCTTAGGCATGTTTCTGACAAAGCAGAATGGGGACCATCAAAACCAGTTGGCCTGATAGAGGGTCGTGGAAGTGATAGATTCTGTTTCTGTTCATTTGGTGCAGACTGGCACCTTTGGGAGAACAGCAGAAGGAAAAAGTCCAAGGGGGCATCAGGGAGGGTTTTAGGGACAATGGATGCATGAGACACCAGGCGGAAGGAAGCAAGAGATAGAAGATGTGTGGTGGTGTTTGGGTCTCAGTGAGTGGGTATAAAATGGATAAAAGAGTGAAGCAATTTGACTAAAAGACCTACATTTACCTCTTCATACAGCTGACATATCCTTAAAGCAGTGGTGGACAGTATTACACTCAATTTATTTGAGTACTGTACTTTAGTGCATTTTTTTGTGAGTATTTGTACTTTACTTCAGTTTAATTTTTTTACTATTATCCCCTTAAATCAGAAAGATTGCTGTGTTATTGTAGTTCTGCATGTGCTTTCTCTCACTTAGATCAGATAGCTTATTTAGAGGAGGGTGACAGTTCTCAGCCTGAGCAGCTATGGCCATATCCTATTAATATTCCAAATATTTTCTCTGTTTACCATGCGCATATTTCATTACAACACCTATTCAAATGTCTGTTTACAAAAAATATAAGTCTATGTACACATTTTCTCTTGTAATTAGGTGTTTTTGGTTGTTCCTACTATTCTTCCCGTTATTTCAGAGCTGTAAATGTAGGAATTTGCAGCATGTGAGTTTGAAAATGTGAATGATTTTTCCTTTGTATTATTAAACTGGAAAATGTACCATTATCTCCACTTTATTGAATAAAAAATTAAGAAAGTCAAGAAATGTATCTTACCCATGTCTTGGCCATTTCCCTCCTATCAGCTGCCATCTTCTTTGGGCTTTCAAAGTGAGCTGAGGAGGATTCAGGTAAGTCTTCATCTGAAATTCATGAGCTGACCTTGTCTTGGGCCATGAAAGCAACAGGAGGGGAAATTGAAACAGGTTGAGGTTATGACAGAGGAAAAAAAAGATCCATTATATTGTAGATTCAGTTTTAGCACTTCTGCATTTATAACTTATTATTATTATTATTATCGTAATAACCCTTTTATAAAATGAGGCGATAAGGTGTAGCTGTGACCACTCTCCTTTTATTTATTCTCAGGTGTCTGAATAAAACCTGTCCAGCCTGACCAGTCATTTCCTGACAAGTCAAAGAAATCTCGTTCCATCTTAAGAACCCGACACAAAAGTCAGGCTGAGGGCAAAGACAAGAATAAAAGGAAAGAAAAGAACTGGCTTTAGAAATGCTTGGCTTCAGTGGCAAGCTAGCTGGACTGTAACTTAGATATGTAGTTTGGAGAGTAGAGGAGAGAGGGGGCTATGGATTTTAATCCGTCAGTCGATAAAGGTCAGTGCTCGAAAGGGCTTTATTCCTCTGCTCCACATCAAAGTGTAAATCCGCTGATTGCAGGCCCTGAATGGGAAGACAACAAGGCTCCATTTGTGGTCCGTTTCTATGGCTCAGTGTGTGTAAGACCCCGCGTGCGAGAACCCATAATACAGGGGGTTTCTATCAGGGGCCCCCTAGATCAATGGGCTGCATGACCTTTGCATTGTGCTGCCGGCTTGGCCCGTGATGTCATGCCATCTATCCGGGTGCTCCACTTAAAGGGGCGAAAGAAAAGCAAGGCAAAGTCCCACACCTTCCTCCCACTGAGCCACAGAAAAGACAGCATGAAAGGCATCATCTGCAAATGTATCCACCTGAAACCAGATTTATTCCCCCTCAAAACACACCTCCACAGATTAGGGCGCTCTCGTAAAAGCGCGTAGGTGTTTCAAACGAGGTGAGATTAAATGCTGTGTTTTACGAGGGCAACAGTAGCTTTTTGCTGAATCATTATTCAAATGCGTGTTTGTTGACACCGAGAAAAGTCTTGTTGGGTGATTCAGATGAGCCCTATCACTTCTGGAGTGTTGTTCTGCATTGATCTACAGCTATTGAAATTAAACATGGCGCGGCAGAGACTCTGGGCCAAGAGACAAGAGCGGCCCTCTCATTGTTCCCGAGTGAAAGGTCCTCTTTATAGTGAAGAGAGACGATGGCAGCTGGTAGGTTCTTCCCTCTATAGAAGATAGAGCACTTTCACAGAGTTGTGGAGTGCATTTGAATGGAAATCTAAAGAGGTAGGCGTGAACCATTTGTTTTGCTATGTTTGTGTTTGCTGTCAACATGTCTGTCTGTGTTGTGGGGCGGCCCCTTTTTACTGCACAAAGTGGCCAACCCCCCCTATCAACTCTTCATAGTCCCCCCCCTCCCAAAAGTAAAAAAAAAAAAAAAACCCAGACATAATTGAGGGGGAGGAAGAGTTGCCCCAAAAGAGAGTGTTGGAGCCATCTTTGTGGGCAGCTTTGTCATGGCGACAGATGTTGTAATTGCCAACTGATGGATCACTTGTCAAGGACGTCATTAGGATTTTGGTGGCCGGGCCTGTTGGATAGAAGAGAAGGGCTTAGGAAAAAAAAAAAAAGAAGAACTGGGAAAAGATAAAGCTGGCTGAGGCGGGAATGGATGGGAGACCAGGTCACATCTATCAGCCTTTTGACTGCCACCATGGACATTAATAATGTGATTGGCCACGCGTTAGAGGAGACACCATTGGGGATAAAGGAGCCTCCTTGTGATGGTATGAAATCTTCAAAGCATAGGATGTACACACAAAACACGCCTTTTATATTGATATCGGTAGACTCCCACAGATTATGCTTGATAATGGTGGCGCCAATCAAACCAAACTATTGACAATTCTGCGACTCAGTGCTGACTTTTTTGAAAAAATGTAGAGCCTTTCCAGTTGAGAGTTGGGGCGCCAATAAAATGGGATCACCCCAATGCAGACAGAGGCTTAATTCTCTGGTGGCACATTCAAGGTCATTTAATGGAGTGTCGCCATCTTCTTCAAAGTGACACTTAGCGCCAAACTACATTGTCAGTTTGATGGTATAAGACACCCTTCTATGCACACACATACACACCCACACACACTCATACGCAAACACCCAAAAGCTCCCCAGAGGTCAATTAGTACAGACAAGGGGCTTTCAGACAAAGGGTGCTAGTGGCCTAGAGCAACCAAGGGAACCACATAATTAACAGTTATAAAGTACTTTACTCTGTTAATTTAATTAGTTAATCCTTTTATCAGCAATGCTTTGTTGAAGGAAGTCATTACAGGGCTCTTCATCCAGTGTCACACATGGACTAAGGCCCTTCTTCCGGCATTTCAGGGCTGAATTGCTGGTAATGGAGCTTCAGTGATCTGATCTGTGATGCCTTCAAAGACACCCTGAGTGCTGGGAGAATTACACACCACATCAAGAAACTGTTGTCATATGTTAATTTTGCTCATTAACCTTGATTCTTGGCCTCGGTAAGGTGTAGGGATGTTCCAGAAAACTGTTGTTTGAGGCCATTTGGCTGTTTCCATTTTTTTGATCGTACAGCCACTCAACAAGAAAAGGGACATGTTCAGATCAAATAATCAGCAGCATATGAAATCACAGGTTAAATGGGGATGTTTGAAGTCAAACCACCATTTTTCATGTGCTGCCAAGTCTCATCCTCTTTGTCCCTTTTAAAACACCACCACCCCCTCCGCCTGCTCATATCTGTCTTTGCACTCTGGAAATTATTCAAATGAGCAAAGCCCACCATCACATTTATTTTACAGCACCACTTGAAGTGTTGACAACAATGTGCGTGTAATCCTATGTGTTGGAGCTGCACGTGGAGTCACCTCTTTTCAGGTGCGGGACCTTTGAACATCAAATCTCTTTTTGGTTATGTTTTTAATAACCTGCTCTGTTGCCCCTGTTGGGTAGTGAAACACAATATTGGGGTTCGGGAGGGGGGTGACTGGAGGGACACCCTCTGGTTCGAGCCTCTCTGTAGTTACATGAACGTTTAACTCACACAAAAGCATAAAAAAGAAAACAGAAATACGCACAGGCAAAAAAAAATCATCTTAACCCCCTTCCATTTTTGAAGTGGTGCACAAGGTCCTGCTGATTACTACAAGCCATACAGTCACAGCTGAACACCATTATCGATGAATGTAGTGGGCTGAAGATAGATGTCATACTGCCTAAATATAAACTCCAACACAGTTTGCAACACCTTCATGATTAGTAAAGTACGTTTTGTAATGCGTCTATAAACAGCAGTTTTTCTCTGCAAGCACAGTCAGCTGGGCTCTCCTTCAAAGAAACAATCCATTCTTCCTTTTAAAAGACTATTTTCTTCACTTTTTGTAGGATGGTTTGCATGCAGTGAGCAAAGGACAACCAGTACCGAGTTTGCAATCAAACACAATCTCTTCATCTGACCAGATGGCTGATTGTTTACTTGTGTTGGAAAAACCTCTGATTGCAATCACTCTCCGCCATCACAACTCCATTAGACTGAGTTAGAAATCACCATGATGGGGACGCAACAACACCTGTTAGTTACAGTTAATGTTGACCTGGCATGTGTGGATCAGATCAGACCCCATGGTTAATTAAAATATAGGCAGTACCCTCACAGCCCCCTCAAGGCCTCTGGTTCAGAAAAGTGGAGAACATGAAAAAGCATTCTTCTGTATTCCTGCAACCATTCCTCCATTGCCGGAGCTCCGTGTAAATAATACAAACGATCACAAACAAAAATAGCCGGTACAAGACGGAGTGTTGAATATTTAACAAAGCAGTGCCCTACTGACAAACATGGGCCTCGAAACCGGATGTCACATGTTTACTTTTTGGGAAGAGAGGACATACTACACAGTGGTAGATCCTTTTATTCGAACTCACAGTTTGTGCTGCATGATATTGCGACTCAGAATCTATTTACTTACACTGTGATGTGTTTTGTTCTCATGATATACAGTGTGTTGCATTATGATATGACAAGTGTGGGGTTTTTTTTGTTATCCAAAATTGACATTCGCATTAAAGTAAGTGATTTAAAAAATGTGTGCTTTGAATTAAACACACAGTTTCTGTATCTTTTCCTAATGTTTTATACATAACATGTTTATCCTGCATCCATCATGAAATCAAAATGCTTTTTTTTTTCTAAATTGTTAATAAGAAGTAAGCAGATAGGTAAAGCCTCCCCAGACTGTCTTAGTGCCTCAAGGTGATGTGAAAGCATGAACAGTATACCCTGACATATATTTCTTTGTTGGTGTTTGTGAGCCTTTTTTTTTAACAGTCCTCTTAAAAAAAGAAAAGAATCTAAAATGTTTTCAACAGTACTGTTTTTTATTAGAGTTTTGGCCTTTACGGAATCAGGCAGATGAACAAAAACAGAGATTGCATAGAGAGTGTGGGAGGACAGGATCTGAACGCTCTCAGGACATGGAGAGCCGTAGCCTCTGTGTGTGCGTGTTTTTTTTTTTTTATGTGTGCTCTTCTAACTCAGCCAAATCAGCACCCCCCAAAAGCAAATGTTACATCTGTGAAATATTATCCATGAAAGATAGTTAAACAGAATTAAAAACAATGTACACTAAGCTATGTTCCACATAACTTCAGGCTATAGGCTCAAGTTTATAAACTCCCCCATCCATGAAGAAATGGCTCTCCTGTAATTTCTGGCAGCCTTTGATGGGGATTTGTGCCCAAATGAAAATGCATCTGAAATGAGCAGCCCTCTGTGGCCCCCACAGTGTGCAAAGATGGCATACAGCAATAATCTTAAAAAATGTAATTAAACACAGATAAGATTAATACAATCAGGGAGAGATGATTGAAAGATGCTGTTGTTGTGTAGGAGGGTGGTGAGGCCCCCGGGCCCCTGGGCCCCCAAAACGAGATGGCTAGCTGTGGGGAAGGGGGGCCCTTCGCACTGGGATTAGCTCAGCCAGGTGGGGGAGCTTCGTGGTTTGAGCATTTAAATTAGCGGTGAGATGACAACCCCCATTAGGAGGGATTAAAGGCCTGCTGGCAGACAGAAATGCACTGGCACTGGCAGGGGCATCCGTCACACAAAACCCAAGGCGCTGTGGCACAAGTCAGTCACTTGACAGCCGCTGTCGCTTTCTCTCCCCACATACCATGTTATAATGCAATTTGATCAAACTTGTATTTAATTTAGACTTTTATTATCCCGTATTCCTGTTCATATAGTGTAACTCGGTGATGGAAAAGAACATTTTGTTTAATGAGCAGAACGGAAACACTGAAATGAGTCTTTATGTTGCTCTGGAGCGTTTCAGCTGTTTTGTGTTTATGTTGAGGCAGTAGGTGTCCATACACATTTTTATGCTGCTTGTGTATTCAGTGATAAAGTCAGTCTAACTATTCATCGTGGTTTTGTAAATGTACACGTTTCCCTGAATAACTTTGCTGTCTTGAGCAGTTCCTCCTTTTTCTGCTGCTTAGCTTCTGAAATTTTCTCTACTTTTATGCTCTTTATTTCTATTTTCACAGCTGCCCCCTTTTCATGGCTGCGTTTCAAATGTGAGAGCCTCAGCAGCCAAACTATGCGGCCTCTCTTAAAGTTAATTCAAGAGGACAGCGCCCAGGTTCAGGGGTGAGATTGCACAGAAGCCCAATCACCGTGGAGGTTCCCTGTAGTGAATCTGTCTGTCTGCGGGATTGTGCTAACGTCAAAAAGCTGCGAGAGGAATTACTGGCTTACTGCCACCTGACAATGGCACTTTTTGTTCCTGATGCGCTCCCAAGTTCTGAAGGCAGCGAGGAAAACAAAACCAGAACCAGCAATCCGATTAAAACAATCTCCTTGTGTCCTGATTAACGCACATTTACATGAGAATAGCCCTCTGTGATCGAACAGTGGTAGGTGAGTCCAGCTCTCTATGTGGTGTTGCAGCCTGAAGGAAGCCCACAATGCACTGCGACAGGAATCCTTCCCTGCCTGCACGCTTGCATCCAGGCTGTTTGGCCCTGTGCCGCTCATCGTAAATGTGTCATCTCTCTCATGGAAGCTTACAAACAAGAACTTTTAAAGCCCCACCACCTGCTGGAGTAAGAACTGGGATCAGTGGTGGATGAGAGGATCTGATCTCCATGCAAACGAAGCGCTGACATGTTCCTGATAGACACAATGACAGTAAAAGCAGGGACGCTCTCTTTAAATATGCACTTGGAGTTATGATCAGTGATGAACGTACACGCGTCTGGAGTTGTGTCTGTCCCTTATTAGTGAGTCGAGGGCAGCAAAACAAACGGTGACAGGCACTGCAAGGGTGTCAGAAACAGCTTGAGATGGCGGAGAGGGAGAAAAACAGAGATGACGAAAAAAGAACTGTAGACAGACAACGTCAGATGTCACTGTTTGGTATTTCTACAAAGCTCCAGAGAGGGAGAAACAGAGAGAGAGAGAGAGAGAGAGAGAGTTAGCCTGGAGCCATGGCAGCGCTCGAGACAAATGAAGTGAGAGCGAGCGAGGCTCCTGTGCCATCCTGGGCCTTCTCTCTCTCTCTCTCTCTCTTTCTCTCTCTCTCTCTCTCTCTTCCCCTACAGAACGCCCAGCTCTCCAGCGGCAAAAAGAAAATCAAACAATTAGCAGGAGGGAAATAAAAGGTCCTTTTTCGCCCTGCGGCACTTGTAAACATGGTAAGAGTGTTTGGAAAATGCCGCTGTCATCATACCAAGTTGTGTTTCTTACTGGAGCTGGTGACAATTTCATATATAATCAATTCAAGATGATAAAAGAAAATTGTGTTTATTTTCAAGTTTGCAAACATATATTTAGACTGAATGCACCTAAAAGCCTTAGATTTATTGAAATATTTCCATTTGTTTTTTAGATAAATGCTAATAAATGAACTTATACCATGCTTTTGCATATAAATTTTATAATAAACATAATACTCAGGAAGTTTTGCAAAGCAGGGATTACATTGAAATGGAGGCATAGATAAGGTACTTCTTTCTTGTATTTGAATAATTTAATTTCCACAGTTTCAATGTGTCCTTTAAGTTTATATTTTAAACCTATGTGAAACATGCATCCAAGTCTAGAAAAATACATAACTATGGTTAAAAATTCACCAAAGTATAAAACTACATTTTGTTAAAGACTCTACATACCAATTTACTAGTTAGTGTGCTTTTAAAAGAAGTTTTAACTTTAAAAACTGGAACAAGTATAAAACCATCAACCTAAACCGGTTTGTGTCTGGGTTGTTTGTTGTGCAAACCCTTCAGTCTACTGAGGCAACGTTCAGAGCGACATGGAGCAGCTTTAAAGTATGGAGCAAGAACATGACTTTCCCCCGTATCGCTACAGAGTTCAGCCGGCTCCTCTAAGTGGAATTCTTAACTATGGGATCCCTTCACAGCAAGGAGTTTGTGTTTACATAAATAAGCCAGCCGAGGTCTGGGACCCTGCACTGAGGACTGGGGCCATCCCTCCCACTCCTTAGTCTTAAATGGAACAGAGCAAAACATGGACGTTAATGTAAAAGCAGAAAACAAGGAACATGTTTGCTTCCTGAGATGAAAGTTTGTGTCAAAGGAAGAAAAGCTGGTTCAGTGTAGGACAAAATTCTTCATCTGACGTTTTTATTATTATAATCTTTTTTCTTTTTTTCACATGGTACCACGGTATTAATCTCTACTTCTCACGCAGTTATGGATGTTATAACCACATCTACTGATTTAATCCATCCTTTAAATTATAAACCATGTTCCAATTATTACATAAATGTGTAATTGAATAAATTATACATGGTATTTACATAAAAATCAGTCCAGCTATTAAATATGATGCCTGCAGGGTGTTATGGATTGAGAATAGATTGAAAACATAACTGATTCATGTTATTTGTGTTACTGCCACCGAACATATCATACCTCTAAGAAAAACTACTGCATGGTAATTAAATAATTTATATATTAAATTATGGACTCTTACTTCTTACACATTTTATTTATTTATTTTCTTATTTAATTGCCCACATGAAATAAAAACAGCTCAATAACAAGAGTCAGAATAAAAAGCACCTTAGAGGTTAATTCAGGAGTAACTAAACATCAAGTTAACTGACAGGGAATGTGTAGGAGGACTTTTCATGAAGAGAAATATTCAACATAAAGAGTGTTACTATAGTCCAGAGTGGGATACAGCTTAAGACCAAACATGAGGGTAAAAAAGGAAGAAATTAGTTGTTAGAATAGTAAAAGAAATAAGAGAGCGTATGTGTCATGGCAGGGTTTCTGCTCATAATCAGAATTGCTGTAATGATAAAGTCGATTACACTCGGGATCAGGATCAATATGAAGCTGAATTTATTCACTGACTGGACAAACGCTGTGCTGTTTCTTCCTAGAATGAATTAAGATTTTTTTTTCCAACTGACCTTTTTTTACCGTTCAGATTTTCATTTTGACGGAGGATTCGGAATTTTAGAAATTGTTGGTCTGACCTTGTGTGATGCAGCTGGATTTGGGATCACTTCTAGAATATTCTGAGACACCCCCTTTCTTTTATATTAGTGAAAAAACTTTTCAGCTGAATCATCAAATGATGAACTTTTAAATAACTTTGGCTCCTAAAAAAGTGTCCTAAAGTTAAAACTGAATGATACACATAAAACCGGCTAAAACTGAACAATGACTCCACAGAACAGTGTGTCTGTACTGTATGAGCCTTAAACAGGGTTTAGAGCTCATTTTAAATAGAGCAAGATTGTTAACCAAATGCATATAAGGGGATTTGTGTAATATATGTAACAGCAGAGCTGATGGATATTGGAAGGATATTCTTACAGTATTGAATTGTTATTGAAAAAAGGATTAGAGGCTGGATGTCCGGGAGGAAAATGGTGGAAGTGTGTCTGACTTTTACTCTTTCTAAAGGGCTTTTAAAGGATGATATTGAAGTGCACAGACTTGTCTCAGGTGAACAGCGCTGACCTTAGATGTCCTTCTGCAGAAATGAAAGAGAGTTATTTGCTCAAGGGACACGCATTAAGGAAGATATGATTGAAAATCTGAGAGTTGGCATGCAGGATAGAAATTTAACAATTAATGCATTACTGGCAGTTTGCAGTATTATGTTTTTTTTTATGATGGAATTCTACTTTATGCATGATTTAAGATATTATAATCACCATGAATAAAAGCAAAAACTGCTAATTGTTATTTTAAAGCTCCAAATGCAACTATATTCTTTACTATTTGTGTAATCTCATACCTTAAATGTATCTTTCTCTGTATGTGTAAGTGCAATTATTCCCCCCTCTCCCCCTGCTCATATACTTGTAAGTCAGTCTGTCTCCTCACATAAAGCAGTGGGTGAACATGCTGCTCACAGTCCACAGAGCCACTGGAGTCCAGTGTTGGCCTGACCTGTCCACATTTTCCCCAGCCTGTCTCTGTGCTCCCAACATCCCTCTAAGTACTGTTTTACACTCGGGCACCCTCTAGGGCTGCGGGGGCCACTCTGATGGAGATGGATGCGCCGGTGCTCTACTGCCCTCCAATGGCAGCTGCAACACACAAAACACACACACTCTCACACGCACACACACAGTCATACACACTTACACGCAGAGAGAGTCAGCAGTGCTCCAGTCTGCCTGCCAGTGCTGGGCAGTTAGCGCTCAGCACTGAGAGGGTGGACTGAAGAGCAGGAGAGTGACCAAAGAGGGGCCAAAGGAGAAAGGCCTCCACACAGGAAAACTAGTTCAAGCAGGTGATGCCATGCAGGACAAGCATGTTAGGAAGGCTGTGAACAGATGTAAGGAAGCACGCTTGCATGATGGATGCTAAAGTCTGCAGGCCATTCCCTCTGCAAGAACAACTGTCCATGGTTCAGTTTCTGACAGGATTGCTAGTTTTTACTTTGTCTGTTTGCAGAAGACAAAAAAAAAATACACACATGCACATGCAAATACACACACAGTCACAAGTGAGCGTGCACACAGAGCCATATATAGTTCATAGAGATAAATGTAGACAGTGTTCAGAGGCCCAGATGGCTCAGTCACAATGGCGGTGCAGGGCAGCCTTTGATGGGTGTGAGTGATTGATTTCAGGCTTGACTGGCTCTGATAGAGTCACCTCAGGAGGCGCCTGGCAACCGCAGGCCCATGCCGGAGCCCTTTCGGCAAGAAACAAGATGGAGCTGAGAATCTCGCTGGATGCCCAGCAGCTTCATTCGTGTCCCCATAGAAGTCCAATACATTCTGGGTACTTACAACCACTGGAATTGGATGGATTTTGTCACTGGCTTCAACTTTCAATGGTGAAGCGGTTTACAGTAGAGTAATAGGTCATTCAATATGTCACAGCATGTTACCGTGAACACAAAACATGCCTATTTTCATTTGGGAAGTTCTTTTAAATCGCTTTGATTCTCTGCGGAGCATAAATACAACTGTGAAACTATCAAATCTGATACAAATTTTAGACTCCCAAAGCCCTCACTAGTGTGTTTCAAGTGTATTTTATATCCATATGGCGTTTCCTTTGTTGCTTTATGCTCTGTTGAAACGCTGTAATTTGCCCTGCATGAAGATATTGAGCGATAGCTGTAATGGAATACGACTGTCATCTTGGGGTGACATTTTCAGCACTGCCACTGTGCTGCGGCTGACTCCGCTGAGCTAGCCAGGCAGGAGGGGCAACGTGTTCACGGGGACGTATTTGCCCCGGAGTCATCTCGGTTACCCTCGACACTGTGACATGGTTTGACAATCAATTAACTGTCCCCTCGCTAAACAAGACTTCTTCAATCCTGAACCAGCTCTCATGAAAGAGCCGCTGCAGCCACTGTGAGATCTATCAGGTATAAAAAACTGCACTTTTCATCCAGAAAGAAACTAGCAGCAAACACAAACAAACATATTTAGGCATTAACAGTACACATCTTTTGCCTTTATTTCTCTCTTCCATGTCTTTGTAATGTAAAACCTGAGGAAATGTGACCTCCAATTTATGCTTTCTGATTTCTAATAAACAGTCTTTGCACATGTGTTCCTTTAATATTTAAGGGCTGTCATGAAAGCTGGGTCCTTTTCTAGGGTCATGTCAAAGGTCCCCACAACAGGAATGCGCTCGAATAAATTAAAAACAGCCCTTAAAAAAGTGAAAAATCAGCGTAAATTTGCAATTATGTTTGTATTCCTAATCACAGCGCCTAATTGCTTTAACAAAATAAATCACACTCTGATTCACCATGGCGATAGCATTACCATGGCAATAATTACTACCGTGATGACACTGACATCAGGCAGGTACCCTTTGCCTCATTTGAATAATTAACGTCTTAAGAGACGCTGCTCTTTCTCCTTCTCCCTATGTTTTTTTTTCCTCTTCTCTCATCCTCCGTTTGTGCGACTAATTGTGAGTTTATTAAGGAAGGGATTGATGAGCCCTGTGCATAATTTACCAATTAGTTCTACACATTTGTAAGATTGCATCCTTGAATAAGACGTGTCACGTTTATTTAAGATTAAAGTTTAATGTGTCTTGTTGCTCGTAAGTCAGAAATTAATTTGTGGAAGAACATCCCTCGAGCTATTGAGGGGAAGCTTTGAAATAAATCATAGTTGATGTGTCAAAAATCACCAAGTTTCACACAATTTTTAGACAGTTTAAAGACATGACTATACTCTACTGAAATATGATGGTGTATGACAAGAAAATCTCCAAAAGCACATTTCAAAGAGTGATTAAGCTTTATAACTTAAGTTTGAGGTTTGTTGCGAGGCTCTTTTTTTTTTTTTTAATACAAAAAAATACAAACCCTAGTTTAGCTAACCCAAACTGTCTAAACAGACATGTAAGAAAAGAAGAGTTTTGTGTCGTTGATGCAGCGCTGGCTCCAAACACACATATATCTAAGTGGAGACAGAGGGGCGGGCAGAGAGGTGAGAGAGAGGGCAGGGCAGCTCTGCCCGCCCGGGGAGTTTGGCATGTGCCCTCCCTGGGCCTCCTGCAGACCTGGGGTCAAAGTAAATAAAGGGGCGATGTGCACCGCCTCCAGCAAGCCCTTCTTACCAACCCCTTTTTCCGCCCTTCATCCCACAGCCCAGTAACAGGAATCCGGTCCTTTCTCCACTGACCACGCCCTCCTGTAGCCGTCCATACCTCCACTGCCACATGCCGCCTTTTTCTACACTCTGTGTCCAGACATGGGGCCGTGGCCCCCCTCGGCACAGTTTGTTACAGTCTGACACTGAGACACAGTTGGTTAGCAGCAGTGGGGCTCTAGTGATGGTGCAAACTGGATTTCTCATTGTGCAATAAAATATTCACAAATGCATTTAAGATATTGTGCAAAATGCATCCAGATATCATTGTAACAGTGCATGCATTGATGCTTTCATACAAATTACATGCATGTTTGCAGCCACCATCACACAAACACATTTTCACACTATCTTACCTCACATTGAGGTTTCTTTAGTGTGGCTGACAACTTTCAGCCTTGCACACACAAATCTAAGTGCATATGTACGTACAAATTCACCAGTAATTCAATCCAGAGCTAAGTTTCATCGGGTGGAGAAAGTATACAAACTAACCCCAAAGTTGGACACAGATTCAGAGAATGGAAAAATGCTTTACACGTCATAAAAAGACAATAAGTGGCCATAGAGATCACTGAGCTCCTAGCAGGGGACCTTGGATTTGCAGTATGACCAAGGACTTAGAAGGCTTAGCTCCAAGAAAGTCAAGTTAAATGTGAATAAAAACAGCTGCTGCAGAGGTAGATACTCTCAGTCAAGGCAGAAGAGCGTTAAACACTAAATCTGGGTCTGCTAAAGGTATCTGCCTGTTAAATAGAGCTTTAAATGTATATGTTGTGCTGTCTCATGGTGGATTAATGCTGGGTCTCTGTTAACAATGCAACAAAACCTACTGTCTAGACCTGCTTCAAAGTGGCATGAGGTAACTTTTGTCGTGATTCGGAGCTGGGTTGGTTTGACATTTTAGTCCCAGGGTTGGAAACTAATTGCACCCTGCTGTCTCAGGGACAATAAAAATAATGTTAGGACAATCTGAGCTGTTCTTTTGAATGAAATGTACTTTTGTTTGAGTACAGTATGTGTTTGAGTAACTATTGCTTAATGACAGAAAACCAGACCTTGTACTGATTTAATCTGAGCACGTCTGATACTGCTGTGACTTTGGTCACCCACTATCATTGGCTTGAAACCCAGCATTGGACCGATGGAGGGTTTGAAATGTACCTGGGCACTTTTCCATCCACCTTCTCAATCACAAACACATTGCAGGCAGAGCTGTAGAACAAGAGGGCACCACTGCATTGTTTTTTAATGAACTCAAGCCAACACAGAAAACAATGTGTGGATGACTTTGGCAGCTTTGAAAACGACTTTATGTAATAAATTAAAACATTATTAAAAAGTTTTGTATTTAAAAAAGATAAAACTTCATAAATTCTAGCTACATGTCAGAGCGTCTGTGAGATTTTTTTTTTTTTTTGGTCAATGAATGAGACTGAAACTCATGTAATAGTCTTTTAAGTCTTTTAGACCATTAGTGATAAGATTGATGGTTTTTATATTGTAATTCTAAATTCTTAAAAACAGTGGGAGGGGGTAGGTGTCTGCCAAGCAGCTGGAGAGACAGCCCTGTTTTTACTTTGTCAGTATAAACCTTTAACAATAAATGAAACATTTGTCAGGACGAGATTTTTGTCTATGTAAATGGATGACATGGTAAGGGGGCACAAAATTGACACAAACTGAATTTTCCTCACAGGAGCTTTAAATAAATGTTCTCAAGGAACTATTATTATTATTATTATTATTATTTATTTATTTATTTTTACTTTGATTGAATTTTAAAACTAATGTAAATTTAAAATTAGGCACTTTGAAATAGTGAAATATACCCTAAAATTAGTGTGTGTTTGTGTCTTTAATCTGCCGTTTTTCCCAAGTAGTGACTGAGGTAGCTTGAAAGTAAAATGTATTTCCAAAGTTTTTTTTTTTTTTTTTAAATGTCATGAAACAAAAACAACAACTTTAGGTAACGGTAGGTAGCAGAGGAACAATATTTTGATTTTTGGACACTTCACATTCACGTCAGAATAGCTGTTTTGGGGGACAAATCCAGGACAGTAATGACAGAAATTCTGGAGCTCTTTTTTAAATATATTTCCAATCCAGCAAACTTTTACCTATTTGTCTCTTTTTCACCTCCTTTCATTCTATATTATCCAGCCCTCACAAAAATGATACCAGCCAAGTCTGACAAAAAGGATAACATGCCACCATCCTCTCAAAGTTAATCAGGAAGCTGCAGACACATGGAGACCGGCTCTCTTCCTCCTCCTCCTTCACCTCTCCCATCCCTCCATCTCCCCGTCCCTCCTGCTGGAAAGAATTCCCAACCCTCTCTGCAGGTAGCGAGGCAGCCAAGACCAGCAGAACATGTGTTTTCCTCCCCTGGTTGGGTCAAAGTGAGGTCGTCCATTCATTCCCAGTGATATAGCAACCCTGGCTCTCCAGCGTGCATGCTTATCATGCGCCGCACCCTCGCAACAGATGATGAATTCCACTCAGCCGATGGATAGATAGATAGAAAAGGGAGAGGGATGAGGGAGTAAGAGAAAGATGGAGAGAGACCCCCCTCTGCTGCCTCCAGACGCAGCTCACCCCAGCCAGTTTGCAACTCAATCAGTGACATGTGCGATTTTAAGAGGGGGAATTGTATGTTATGCCACTTTTTTTTCCAGCTGGGGATGGTTTTGAACTTTGACCGCAAAGTTATGAATTTTCTTTTAAGGCTCAGGGGAAGTCAAGGAAAATATTTTTGGGACAATGCACACAGGATATTCATGTTTCAAAGCGAGTTTGGATTTCAATCATGTTGGGAAGTCTGGGTTTAAAGCATGCTGTTACCACAAGTTTGTTTTGGTCATTCTTTAGAACATTCATAACATTGACATAAGAAGTTTAGACAACCCAAATACAACACCGTTACTCCACTGAACCTAAGATGCTTATTACGCCTTGTTCTCAGGAAGAGCTTATATATGTGCCACTTTGTTGCCAAAAAACACAGCAAACAGGAAAATTAGAGGCCTTTAACTTTCATAAGATCTTATTATTGATCAGACTGGCTTTGCAGCACACCACAGCCTCACCACATCCCCGCTGCCCGTGATCACGCCAGAGGCAGTGGCTCGCGGGGGAAAATACAGGCCAGGAGAACCAAGAGATGCTGGAGGGTGTTTTGTACACAGTCAGAGTGGAGAGTGAGGTGAATTTTTGAGTAAGAAAAGAGGATGTTTTTACTTTGACCCTTTTGAAGAGGGAAAATTTTATCATCTGGTTTAAAAATATGCAAGGAAGGGAGGCATGGACGACTGATATGGTCATAAAGAAAAAAAAAAACAAGATTAAATATAGTCTCATTATGATGTCTTTATTCACTTAAGAGCCACAGTTTAGAAAAGTGGTGTCCAGTAGCATAAAATGTTGTTACCTTGTTGTTGACGTTGGGCAGCCAAAATAAAATTTGGTGGATTGAAGGATTTTGTTTTGGGAGAAAGTAGGGAAGGCCATGCGATGAAGAGTTGAGGATAGGACATGAAGGCAACTGTTGCTGCCACTCTTGATACTTAAAGTTACAGTGTGAGTGGATGGTTACTGATATCAAGATGTCACCCACTGAGCAGTTGACAGCTATTAGACATCTATTTTTTTTTTTTTTTTTTAGACCTAATTTCAACCGTCTAGATTCTGTTTATTTTTAGACGGATT